CCCCCCCCCCGAAAACCCCCCCCCCCAAAGGCGGCGGCAGCCGTGGCACGAGCCCGTCGCCGCGCGCTGGCGCCCGTTATTGTCCTTCATTTGTCACAGCAGCGGATGGGAAATCATTCAATTAAAAGGAGTGCCGTGGAATACACAAAATCGCAATATGAGTTTAGGAGAATGAGGGCAGCACGTCAAAGGCATGCCAAAGCCCAGCTTTATGAAATGATTTTCCTTTTTTTTTTTTCTTTTCTCATTTCCACTGATTTCCTAGGTGAAATTAGGTGACTATCTGGCTAGCATAATGATGATAAGGCTGGGAACCATACATGCTCAAATGACATACGTATATTTTTAATAAAGGATGAGGGAGGCTTGAGGGAGTGCATTAAATTGAGTAATAATTTATTATTTAGAGACCTCTACCCATTTACGCATTTTTTCTGGGAGAATTGGCTCTCCCTCGGAAGCAGCGTGGGGAGAAGAGGGCCGGGGCCCCGCTACCCGTCCGGGCCCGGAGCGCTCCCGGAGTCGGAGCCAGAGCCGTGCGGGAGGCGGGGAGCTGGCAGGGCCTCGCGCGTCCTATAGGAATGCACTGCAATTATTTCCAATCACAATTAACCTGATTAGAATAATGGACAGGAAGTGTCCCTCTGTAGCTAATGCAGTTTGGCATCAGCTGACTGAAATCCTCTGATAATTTCTGCACAGATGGCTGGGCTGAAAGCAGCACTTTTTTAATTATTATTTCCATGGTCTCTCGGTAGGCCAAAACCTCGACACCAACAACAGACCTCCCCATTAAGGCGGACGGCGCCAACGTCAACATCACAGCTGCCATTTATGACGAGATCCAACAGGAGATGAAAAGGGCCAAGGTATCTCAAGCTCTGTTTGCCAAAGTGGCGGCCAATAAAAGTCAGGTGAGTGGTAGAGGGGATTTCGTGGTTGCGGGGTTTTCTTGTTTTTTTTTTTTCTCTGTTTTGTTTTTAAAGCAAACTCTGGGTCTAGATTTAGACCCATCTCATCCTCCCACCAATAAAAATACATCTGTTCCTACAACAATAATAATCTTCATCTCTGGGGAACCTGTCGTGTTTTTGGCTTTTGCCTCCTTAAATGGTTTCCTTTTCCGATTTAAATAGGATGGGGGTAGGAGCGTTTTGTGGCCAGGTTTTTCCCGCTTTTGTACAGGTGTTTTCTCACACGCTTGGCTTACAGCATGCACCTCTCGCAGCGGGATGGGAAGCTTCCCAAACGATGGCAAGTAAAGAAATGGTTTTCCTAAGTGAGCGACCAAGGAAGGCAGTGGGAAGCTGCATCCGAGGCAGCTTGAGGAAGACGTTTCCTTTTTTTTTTTTTTTTTTTTTTTTACACATTGCTGTCTACAGTAAGGCTGTGTAAATAATTCACACCGGGCTCAATCAGTTAAAAAAAAAGGAGAAAAAAAAAAAAGAAAGCATTGAGCGTCACAGTGAGCTCTCTTGGATTAGTTATCACCTTTGGTGTAAAAAATACATGTGGGCAAACCTAAGCCAGAGAACCCATTAATTTAAAAATTTCATCCAGCTCTTTAAAAAAAGATAACTTAGCAGAAGGTATTTTGGGAAAAGGACCGACAGAATTTTTTGTCGGAAGGGCGGCAGACGGCGTGGGGAGGGGTTGTTGGCTCCGTGTGGAAGGAGCCGCGTGTGGTGCTGGGTGAGCGCCGGGCAGGGCGCGAGGGGCTGCGGGCAGCGCGGAGGAGCTGGATGCGTGCGCGTTTGGATCCTCCTGTATGCAGGAGCACAGGGTTACTCCGGCGTCATGTCAATAGATTTAAAATAGGCATATAAGGAAAGTCGCGAAGGCCATTGGCGCACATGGGAGAGCCGTGTCCTCTCTCCAGGTATTCGTGCCCTGGCACGTGGAGGTCTCACTCGATTCTCCTTCCCCGTTTGATCAGTGTTTTTCTTTGCCTTCTGCTTTCTCTTGTCAGAGCACAGGGGCTACAGTCCACATCCCCTCTACCCCCCGACAAAATCCCAGGCGCGGTATGAAATACATAAAAGGAAAATACCACGGAACCCTCTTAAACTGTTAAAGGCATAAAAATCTCATGTACCACATGGCAAAATGTAATGAGAACTGGAGCTGTTAAACGAATAAAGCTGTTAAAAGCATAATGCCACTTGGCACAACTACTGTGCATTTAACGGTTTTCCACTGTGTAATAAATGACATATGTGGTAAACGTGCAGTAAATATAAAAACTGCACAATTGATTTTGCAAACGTGCCCCTTATTCTTTGCTCCACGCAGATATCAAAGTTCCACCCAGGACCCCGACTGGACAGCGTTTAATAAGGAGTGTTTAGCACAGACTGGCTGCCAGCCTCGCTGAGGTTTGCCCTAAAATTGCTGCAAGCTTCCTGTCATTATAGCCAGAGGCTTCTTGAAACAGAGCGGGACTGAACCACCCTGCCGTCATTTGGGTGGCTCGCCAGCTTCGCTCGGGGCCAGCGGCGCAGCAGTGCACACCAGCCCCAGAGCAGAAACACGGCCCCTGGTCTTGCACGCAGCAAAAAAAAAGACAGAACGGGGCAGGTTTTGAAAGTTGGATGCAAAAAGTTAAGAGCAGGATCCACAAATGTTCTTGATTAAAGTGCATAAAGGTTTTGGTTCTCCAGCAGCAGCGACTGAAGCCGCGCTGCGGAGGCTGGTGTCGCTTTGTCCCGCAGGTCCGGCGCAGAGGCCGGCGCCCCGCAGCCGCTGCCCAGCTGGGTGCCCGGGAGTGGCACCAAAGGCTGCACGGCTGCGTGTCCGGGGCATGGAGCTTTCTGCCCGTGGCGGGCTCCCATGGCCTGGCTTGCTCAAAAACCAGCTGTGGGGCTTTCGCTGGGCTTCGTGCAGCCCAGCGCTGCCAGCCGTGGGCCCTTCCCGGGAGGATGCTGCTGAGTCAGCAGCCAAGCGACGAGGTGGGAGCGCTCTCCAAAACTCAGCCCGTGTTGGAGTTTGAAAGAAGGGGAAAGGAGCTAGCGCGAGGGTTTGCTTGGACTCCGCGCCAAGGTTCGATCACTTGCTCTTCTCTACAGGCCTGGCTTGCGTTGCGTTGGCTTCCTCTGTTATTCCCTCACCCCAGACTACTGAGAGGCTTCCAGTTTGCTAACAAGGCATGTGTTATGTTGGGCGCTGCTGTTCTGTCAACAGCAATCCACGGTGCTGTGAGATCTTTGCAGTTGCAGCAGCCAGTGAAGCTCCGACAGGACTGTTTCGACATTGTATACACAGGGCTGCGTGTCATGCACCCGAGAGAGCATCCAGAGCCAGCGGGGCCTTGTCTCTTGCTCCTCTTTCGTGCAGGACAAGTGGTACCCGCTGAGGGTGGTTATTGCAAGTGGCATCATCTACTGGTGGAGTTAACGGACCACTAATTCACCGAGTAGCCATCTATATTCTTAAGGCAAGGGATGTTCTCAGCTCAGCAGCTAAAAGATAGGGGAACTGTTTGAAACCCAGATAGAGATTGCAGAGCTCCCAAGTCAGGATCAGTGCAAGGAACAGGGCCTCATGGCGAGACCTCTAGAAGAGAATCAACCTTTATATGAGTCGTTAATTTTAGACATTGGCTTATTCTTGGGGCAACATCTCATCTTAACAGGATGGGGCAGCGTGTTGGAGGTGAGCATGTGCCGCTGGGCGTCTGTCCCAGGCCAAGGCGAATGGGTGGCTTTGACCTCCAGCACAGTCAGTTTGGTGGAAACGAAAAAATGAGCCCTTTAAACGGAAACTCTTCCTGCAGGGACTGGAGTTTGTTCCAGTTACACCACAGTAAAGCAAGAGACGCCCCCCGAGCAACATTCGAGAAAACATTAAGCTGCAGCGCGCTGTTTCTGGTTCACATCTTTGCCCTGTTTAAAAATAAGCAAATACACACTAACTTGTCCAGGGTGGTAGCACAAAACCCTTCAGGTGATGAGGTTAGAGAAACCCTGGCCTATGGGTGGGAATCACTGGAGCCTTGTGGCGATTCCTCGCCTTTCCTGCGACTTGTCCTTCCCACACTGAGGGCAGCCGTGTCACTGGGATCCCTTGGGACGCAGCCGGTCCCGGAGGCTCAGCGCAGCAGGGATTGCTGCTTCGCGACTAGTGTTTGGCCGAGTCGGCGGGGGCGGCAGCCGCTCGCTGCCACCCCGTGTCCCCTCCAGCCCAGTGCTGCAGGTGTGAACTCAGCATGCTGGAAGCGCCTGCGGCGCCAGGATCTTTGCTCTAAGGGCAAGAGGTGTGAGCAAACGCCTGGGCTTCCCTGAATCGGAGGTCTGTCGGGACCCCTGAACTTCATTCGTTCCTTGGATTCCTCCTTATTTCATAACGCCGCTGCAAAACTGCCCCTGATGGAAGTGCCCTAAAGTGCATTTTTGCCTTAAGTTTTTGGAGGTGGAAAAATACTGAGCGTTTCAGAAAATTCAGGCTCTGGAATGATTAACCTTGAACCGAAACAAACGGCGCGGGGCCGGCCTCCGCCCCCGGCCCTCATCGCGGATTCACCGAAGCCATGACAGAGCTCTCCATTACAGATAGTCTTTTATCCATTTCAGCTTTCTTGATTAGGTTATCTCGAATCATTAGGGGGTTTATTTATTTTAATAGACACTTATTGGATTCATGGGAAGAGGCTTTGGCGACTAAGGAACAAGAGCTGAATATTAGCGGGCTCATTTCGCGCTGCAGAGTCCCGAGCGGCAGGGAAAGTTTGTCCAGAGGACGCCGGGGGCCCCGCGGGGCGGCCGCGCTCTCCCCGTTCCCCCAGGCTTGCTGGGCTCCCGTCGATCCGCGCTGCCTTTTTTTTTTTTTTCTTCTTCCCTTTTGTCACATATGTTGGCATTTTCTGCACCGATGATGTGGGTGAGGAAATGGCCTTTTACATTTATTTTTGAGATTTATTCCTGAATCACTCGTGCTAAAAACTCTTCGTTTGCCTACTCATACTTTTGCTAGGGATCCTAGGAAATGTCAGCACAGAAAACTTAACTAATATCATTATTATTACTAATTTCGGCATGAATGCAGGGAAGCACGAGGTTAGTTTGACTATGGTTTTACCGACGCTGGAAGCGTCTCACTGTGCGGTGCAAGTAGAGAGGTCGGCATGACCGCGTTTCCGCGGGCATCCGGCTACCTCTTCCTGTGGCAGCTCTCGGTAGAGACACTGCTGAGAGCATGAGGGCCAGTCTGCAGGCCTAGCCTAAGCCCTCCCCAGACACTTTCTTACCACTTAATCCAAAATAGGGTCCTGAGCTGACAGCAGGCAGAGCTCCATCTGCAGGCAGCCGTTTCGGGGGGGTTGGGATATTGCGCTTAACCTTCTCCTAGCACTGGAAAATGGGACCTTCGTGTGGTCTAATACCTCGGGCTGCCTCCCCTGCTCTAGGGTAGGTCTTGCAAGAGCAAAAGGCTCAAGCTGCTCCAAGAGCCCTGACCCCCATCCCGCAGCCCTTTCGCCCTCGGCATGCCCGGGGCGCTCGCTCCCGCGCAGTGACGCACGGTGTCCTTAGCAGCGTGCAAGCACGTTGGGAACGGCTGGCTTCCTGCAGGTTTTGGTTGTTGTTTGCTTAGCTATGTGGAAACGTATTTGATTAGGAGGCAGAGAGAGAGGTTAAAAATAGGACATTAATATGATATTATTTGTTTTATCAAATGAAATGCTTAGAAAATGTTTATCTTGTCTCATGAGAACAACAAAAATAGAGGCCAGCACTTCTCTGCAGTTCTCCTTAATGAGCTAAAACGGGCTGCCTGCTTGAACCTTGTACCAGTTTTGGGGTGAAACGAAGGAAGTTCAGAGCAGAATTCCTTGTAACCACAAGCACTGGGTGTGCCTGACTGGAGAGCCCAAAGCATCCTTTAATTGTGCTGTTTTTCCTCTCCTTGTTTTTAATGGAAGACATTCCCACTGACAGCAGTAGAGGCCAGCAGGACGAGCCCCGTTCTGCCACCCGCGGTGACACCGCGTGCCCCAAACGCTCCCATGGTCGGGGGCAGCCACCAGGGCCGTGCGCGCTCGGGAGCGAGGCCAGCGGTGCGGCAGGACGGGGAGCGCGAGGTGGCGCGGATCCGCCGGGCACGTGTTCCCAGCGCGGCCCCGCAGGTTGGGTTTGCCTGCAGCGAGGCCTGCGCAGATGCTGCGGGTGAGTGAGGGCCGAGGTGGTGGGACAGCACCTCCTCCTGCGCTAGTGAGTCTGGTTACATGTGAAAATTAACTGGAAATTGCTGTAGCTCCCAGAATTTCTTTATTTTAGCATTTCTTAAACGAAATAATTCTCCTGGAAAGCTCTATGTAATATACACAGAACCAAAGAGATAAATTTCAAAAAATTGCAACCAAAAAAACCCAAGTTGAGATTTTTAACAGAAAAAGGAGATTTGTGTATTAATAATTCATGAGTTCTCATTGAACATGCACGAAGAAACGGTGCTATTCAATAGAGAATACTGTCATCTGTCACTGTTTTATTTGACATTTACACTTTTTTTTTTTTTTTTTGCCTGGTACTGCAGAACTTTCTTGGATGGCGTGCTGAGCTTATTTAAATAAATAAGTACAAAAATCCACTGCAGATTTTTCATCTGTACACAGGGAGGGCGATCACTTGCGATCCTAGGGGACGTGCGGGTGGGCAGCGGCGCTGCGTTCGCTCATGTATTGCCCAAAGCCGTCCCCTCAAAAGCAGCCCTGCGGATGTATAGATACGCTCCTGAACGGACAGGTCAGAGAACAAATTATTGAAAAAATAAAGGGGAGGGAAGGGGAAAGAGCAGCCAAAGGACAGATGTGATGCTGATGAGGGTACCCGTGCACGCGGCAGCCACGTATGTGCACGCGTGGGGGCGAGGGAATGGTGACTGTTGTGAAGAAAGCTGCCACAAACACGCTGCCGCTGCTGATGCGAAAATCCATATTTATAAACGGCGCCCGGGGAGACCCAGTCGCACGAAGCGCGAGTGAGAACAGGGCGTTTAGCGCGGTGACGATCCTGAGGTAGGCACACCTCGCAATTTCTTCCTAATATTAGGCTCATGAAAATCTTTCTGCTCCGTGGGTTAGTTATTATTTATAAAAATCACAGAACCAGCTGATACATTCATAAGCTAATTATTGTAGCAGCTGGGTACACATGGTGCAATATGTCGGAGGCTGTGAAGTATCACAGATTTCTTGGGGCCTGCTGTGGAGGGGGTGTGCTGTTGAAGGCTCGGTCCCTTAATCGGATCAGCCAAGCAAATACTTAGTGGGGAAACTGGATTAATATCTCTCTAAATACCACGGCTGTGCTTCACCTTCAGAACCAGGCTCCTTTAAACGTGCCATTAGCTCGTCTCCCTAGGGAAATCGAGGAGTTCTCAGGTGTCCTCAGGACCACGGGGCCTTTGCCTGGTGCCTGCCTGCGCCAGGAATTAATTCGGTTTGCTCGTGTCTGCACACATGGCTGCGCTGCCGTCTAATCGTCTCCCTAATAGCGCCGAGGTCAGGACCTCGCACGCTGCCAGGCAAATTGAGCGCCGTCCTGCTCCAAGACGAATGGCGGGGCGCGTGCGGCCGTGGCCGTAATGAGGCCTGTAGCGCTGCGCTAAGTGCCCCTAATGAGCGCTGATTAGAAGGGGGCAGATCCGTCAGGATGCAGCCGGCAGCTCCGTGTTTCTGAGGGGGCTCCGGAGCCTAGCGCCGGCCACGGACGTGGCCTTGGGCTTCATGTCCTGGCTCTGGGCTGGAGGCAATGGACATACCTGCCCGAAATGCTTGGAAAAGTTTGCATGGAGACTTGGATCACTGGAAGGCAGGCAGAAGCAGGAGCTGATTTTTTTTTTCCACAGATAGTTTATTTTCCATTTCAAAAGTTATTTCCTTTGTATGGAGAAAACCCTGAGAAAACACTGTGGGGCCAGGAGATATTTTCTCTAAAAGAGCTGAAGTTTGGGGGTGTTATTTCTGGGGAGAAGGAAAGAAAAGAGGCGAACCGAGGGCAAGGGATGTGGTCAAACCAAATGAAAACTCAGACTTATCACCAGCTGAGGGATTACCCAAATACCCACCAAAATATCAAAAATAGAATATAGACTTTTTTTTTATTTTCCCTAAGTAAACGATGAGGTATCTTGCTTTCCTCCTCATCCCCTCCTCCCCAGCCCTCCTAGTTTATTGCCAGAGAAGACCAGGTCTGCGCAAATGTGGCCTCTCCCTTGTAAAAACAAGGCAGTGTTGTGTTACAGATTAGTTTATAAATCCCCAGCGGCTTCACAGTTCAGTGCCTACAGCTGCTGCAGCTGGGCCCGCGTTTGTGTCTCCTGGCGGGGCCGCCGGCGCGGGTGGCAGGAGCAGGTTATTAACATGTAGGCCGCGAGGAAGCGGCGGCACAAAGCGAGCAGCTGCCGGTGCGGCCTCGCCTCGCGCGCCGCGGATAATCCAATCTGGACCTTTTTTCTCCCTTTTCGGGGAGGGGGGTGAAGGCAGAAGCCTCACTGGAGACTGAGGCAAACGGCGGCTTGTGATGTTATAGGCAGGGCTGCCAGCGCAGGGTGGAAGTTGTTGGTGGCTTACAAGTTGTTACACACAAAACGCAATCCCTGCCAGCCCCAAACCCACGCGGGCCTACAGTGGACCTGTCTGTTCGCTAGGTGCAGTCACTCTTCAGAAAAATGCATTTTTTTAGGCTACTCTGTGCACTATACATTTGTAACATCAATCAAGCCATCTTTTAGGTACTGTAAGGTGCCTGTCAAAATGGTGTCAGAATGCTGAGTTGTAGCTTGAGAATGATGGGTTAGAAAGCTACGAGGTAAAATATTTTGACAGGAGCCAGCGGGGCGCGTTGACAGCATCCTCGGTATTATCTTCTCATGTTCTGTCATTTGCTTTGCGTCTCCTCACGCCCAGGCGGGAGCAGGGAAGCGCCGGCGCCGAGCGGCCTGGGCCGCCTGCCCTCCCGCACCGCGTCATTCCTCACACCGTGAGCTCCTGCCATTTGGCTCTCCGTCACCTCCCTGTTGGTAGCATTTTCCCCTCCCCAAAGCACCAGCGCTTCCTTCTGCGGGGCTCTGAGCTCCATGCCCTATGGAGAGGTCCTGGGGGACTGAATAAAGGTGTAACTTTCTGATGGTGTTTCATCTACCTTATAAAGCAATATAGCAGGAATAGAGTCAGCTGTTATTACAAACTGTTTTTGGTTTAAAATTATCTCCCCCTAATATCTGTCTTCCTTGATCCACAGTCACTCTGCAGGACCCTGTTTGCTTCTTTCCTGTTAAATACTGGAGAATTTAAGATTGCACCTTCCCTGCTAAGTGACCATTTGGCCGTTTAGCGCTGTCGAGTTTTAGTGGGGTTCAAAATGAGGGTAGCAGCAGCAGATCAGAGGAGTGCACTCGATCATGTTTTCTTCAAAACATTTTCAGCAGTGGCTGAATTTCTGGTACTGGGCCTGCAAGCCCTAAGCATGAGTTTTTTAGCGCGCGTCAGGAATCACATCTCCCTTTTTTTTGGTCAAATGAAGAAATAAGGGGGCTCTAAAATGGGAAAGAGGAAGATGCACCTTCATTTCCACCCTGTTTTTGTACAGAAAAAAAGAGTGGTTATAGCTGAGCCTCTTATACAAGGTATGAGTAGCACAGCAGGCAAGATGCTTCCTGGTTCAGCTGGTGGGTTCTGTTTCTCCAGCTTGCAGAAAATATAAATAGCACCATGGTGTTGCTGAGACAAAAGGGCAGCTGAGGATAGGAGGGGTTTCTGTGCGAGATCAGACCAACAAAACTTGCAGCACGGAGCTTTGCTCAAGTGTAGCTGACCTTACACGCAGAGGTGGCTCCTCAGCGCTCCGTGGATTAACTTGCTGATGCTCCCATTGCAGGGCTGGCTGTGCGAGCTGCTCCGCTGGAAAGAAAACCCAAGCCCGGAAAACCGCACCCTTTGGGAGAACCTCTGCACCATTCGCCGCTTCCTGAACCTGCCCCAGCACGAGAGGGACGTGATCTATGAGGAGGAGTCCCGGCATCACCACAGCGAGCGTATGCAGCATGTCGTCCAGCTGACTCCTGAGCCCGTGCAGGTCAGAGCGCTCGCTCCCCTCTCAGTGAGTCTTTGTGCGGGAACAGCTCTCAAAGGCAGAAAAAAGCAACTGGTTCCAGCTTCCCTCTGATTTACAGGTCGAGACACACCGATTTTAATCTCTCTCGAGGGCTGCCTGTGCAAACCAGTACTGTCAGTGCTGAGCTCGCTGTGTGTGTGGGCAGCACGGGTGTGAGCGCGTGCGTGTCTGTGTGGCTGCCTCCAAAGAGGGGGTGAAAGAATCTAGACAACAGAAGGGTGAGCAGCAGTGACCAGCAGAGCAGGAGTGCAAGGTGGGTCACTGCTTCCTTTTCACAGGATCTAAGGGCTCCTGCTACTCATTGCCAAACATTGGCTAGCAGGCTGCTATAACCCATCATTCTTCTTCTTTTAGAAGGAAATGTAGGTGATTCAGGAAAGGTAGGAGTGTAGGAAGAGTAGGTAGCCTAGGCAGGGATTTTGAAGAGTGAAACATGAAAAAACATTGTTGGGGTATTTGCTGAAGCTTGGCATTCAGCTGAAGTGACTGTGGTGAGTACTCTGTAGGGAACGAGCCTTCATTTCACAGCCTCCTCAAGTAGTGTTTTGCTCCTCTGTAAAACTTTCGTGACAAGGACAAATTTTTGTTTTGTGCACCTTGGTTTTATCCTTGTCTCAGATCTTAATGAGAATTAAATAGATACAAATGAGAATGGGAAATAAATAGACACAAATATGCATGGGGAAAACAAAGAGAAGATACTGCAAGACTTTTCATCTTCGTAATTGCAGATTTAGTCAAAAGAGAAGATTGGTCTTATTTGTATCCCCAATATCTAGTTATACTTGTCACAAAATGAAGCAAATACTGGTGGTCAAAAGAGGTTCAAAACTTGTCTGTAGAGAGAGCTGGAGTGTGAAACTTAGCAGTCCCTTCTTCACTCTTTTTTTTTTTTTTTTTTGGTCAGTCCATAATTTAAAACAGAGTTTCCTGGTTCTGTGGTGGGAAGAAAGATCATGAAGTGTTATTTATATTTTGGTCTCAGCTCGAAAAACTAGAGTGGCTGTTGGCATGAAGACCCTACATTAGGCATTGTTGTAAAAGCTGCCCAGAGGAACAGCACCGTACTAATGCAAAGGTCTGTGAGCTGGTGAAAGCCATGGTGAGGTCAGTGTGACCAGCAAAGAGTGGAAGGAAGGAGTAGGCCAGTAGTGGAGGGAACAAGCCAAAGCAGCAGATAGTTGGACTGCCCCTGGGCACGATGCGGTGGCTGCAGGTCCTGTAAAAGACTTTTTGTTGGTTTTTCTTTTGTGTTTTTGCTTTTGCTTCATTTAAGCAAACGCTATTTAGTTAGCAAGCATTCTTTGGCAGTACTTGGCGAGGATGGGGCAGAGGTAGGGAAGTCTTATGGAAGAATGCAAAGTTGGCATTTCGTGCCCAAAGGCCGCTGGGGAAGCAGGGCATTAAGAAATGATGGTGACTGGACCTTGGAAGGCTTGCAGAAAAGGAAGGCTGAGAAATGGCAACAACAAGAACATAGGGAGGATGGTTTTTGGCGGTGCTTTAACCTCAGGAGAGCTTGAGGAGCAGAGACTGAAAGTTTGAGAGGGCGGATGTGCTACTCAAGCTAAAAAGCAGAGGCGACGCCTTCCACAGCTGAATGTCCTGTTGGATTGTCCCAGGTTCCTTGTGCCATTTGCTTGATTCCATTGCGTAACCGATCTCCACTGGGTTTGTCCATGCTGTGTTCCTCTCTGATCACCTGGTAGTTCCTCGTGCTGTTGCTGCTCTCCCCGTTGCTGTCTGATCAGAGCTTGCCCTGCCTCGTGCACGGCTCTGCGCTCTTCCTCTCACTTCGCCCGTAGTCCCTGTCTCAGTTCTTGTTCTGCTGCTGCTAGTATTCCTGACAGTGATCTAGACAGCTTTTTCCAAAGGAGAGTTCTTTCTCTTTTCTGTTAGTTCTGCTCCTCCTGGAACATCTTTGTTTCACTGGATTTAGTTATTGCCTGATTTGGTCTCATTTGTCTCTCTGCTGCTGACTTCCTCCTTGTGTTCCCTCCTTGGTATTCTCCTGGAAAAAAAAAAACTCTTTTCCCTGGGTTTGGGTTCTCAAAGCCACAAAACAGAAGTGCTCTAAATAGTTATAATTGCATGTTTGGGCTTCTGTGCCCCCTAAAGTTTGTGACGTCCTGGAGGCAAGGAGCTACAGAAGGGTGAAGGACCAGGCTGGTGTGTGGGAAGACCACCAGGCTTGTGTGGGTTTAAATGCATTAACCCAGTTCTATTGCCCACACCTAGTAGAAAAATCCTCTAAGGGACAATTGGAAGGAAATGTTCCCCTGAGCGCTGGTTGGTGACCTTGATGATTAGCCTACTTTCCAAAGTCATCTGCACATCACTTTCTGCGTAGCGCAGGTTGTCTCTTCTGAGTGACACGTTACACTCCATTGCGATGTGATGCATTTGTATTTGTCAGCAAGTTACAAAGCCATGGATTCATTATTTATTACAGTCAAAATATGAAAAATGAAGAAAAATAAATGGAAGCAGCTGGCAACCACATACAGAAAAACTCTGGAGGCCGTGGTGTGCATTTGGTACAGTAGGCTGTGCTCTGAGGGTGCTGCGCTTTAGAGCTGTGCTTGCCCATCCCAGAAGCCCAGCAGGTTTCGGAGCGACACAATACCAGTGTGAGCCCTGTCAGGCCCCGCGTCCCCCTGCTCCCCGCTGTCGGCGATACCTGCACCAAGCAGTCCGTGTAATACGCGGTCGCTGGGACTAGGAGTGTTTTAAGCTGCAAGGTTTCTTTTCTGGCTTTGCTGCGAGGGTCACCATTAGGTAATTAGCCATGAAGAATCAATGACAGCAGCGAGAGGCCTAGAACTGAGGCCCCGCACTTGCGGTCACTGGAGATTTTGTGACACTGTACATAAGGGTAGAGGTCTCGGGCCCCGGCTGCTGGCCAAAATCCAGGCTGAGTAATTACATTCTGCCTATCTGAAATTCCCCCTGTAGTGTCAAGTGGGAAAGCAGGTCTCACCTCTCCGCAGCGCCCAGGCAGGCGCAGGGTGTCTGCTGTGGAGCCTGCCTGCACTGCAGCCGCGCGGGAAGCATCCGAGAGCTGCCGTCACCGACCTACTTCTCTTGGCAGCCTTTGCTGGGGAAAAGTGCACTGTAAATCAAGCCCTTACCTCTGCAGCCTTGATGTCAAGATGATGGTCCTTTGAAGAAGATGCAAGTAGCAGTGTTGTAAATAACTCCATGTGCAGTGTGGAAACACTGATATGGGCAGGAGTCCCTCTTACCTCTGGTTGCTCCCTCTGCTGCCCCCTTCTTTCTCCCTGCCCCGATAAATCCAGCACGGGGAGGGTAAGCGGCGCCTCGTGTTTGAGATGTGGCGGGCGGCTCGAGCAGCAGCCAGGCTGTGGCACGCACTGCAGCCCTCCCCCAGGGCCCCTTCCTGGGCGCGGAGGGGTTTGTCGGGATGGATTTGTGCCGTCGGCGTGGTGCGGAGCGCGCCGCCGGCACCGGAGTCACCCCGGCTGGCTGCGGTTGCTGGCTCTCGTGGCAAGGGGTGGGCAACACGGCTTGCTGTAGCACTGGAGATGAGCTTAAGAGTCGGGATCTTAATGCCTAGAGGGATTATTGGTCTTCTTGTGGCTGGTCCTTGCCCTCTGCTCTACCTTGCTGTTTAATTTCAGCTTTGGTGCTTTATAAAGAAACATTTTCTTGTCTTCCATTAAATTTTCCCTGTCAGCCATATATTAAGCCATTTAATTAAATATTTTCCTCTTTCCGAAATGAAAAAATGTCTCTAATGGAAGCTCAGCGCACAAGGAATTCTTCCCCGCACCCTTGATTTATTTGTTATTGTGCCGAGGAGCCATAAAACGCGCGTCCCGCGGAGCTCCGTGCCGCGGCTCTGCTCCCGGGCAGCGCGGGCTCTGGCCATATGGGCGGG